ATGACCGAGTGGAGTGGTCTTTCTTGAAAGCAATTTTGTTGAAGCTGGGTTTGAAAGAAAACTTGGTGAATTTGATTATGCAATGTGTGTCCTCTGTGGAGTACAGGATTCGGTTTAATGCAGATGAGACTGATAGCTTCAAACCCACTAGAGGGCTAAGGCAGGGGGATCCCCTCTCCCCCTACTTATTCATGTTATGTACGGAGGGCCTGACTGCCCTTTTAACAAATGCGGGGGAGAGAGGAAGTATCTTCGGCATAAAGGTTAGCAGGGAAGCTCCCTCAGTTTCCAATCTATTATTTGCGGATGATTCTTCGATCCTCATGCGAGAAAATGCAATGAACGCGGAGGTCCTTAAAGCGGTTCTGGACTCTTACTGTGCCGCCTCGGGGCAGATGGTGAGTGTCGAAAAATCCAGCATATTTTTTAGTCCCAATACGAAAGTGGAGGACAAAGGCAAATATGTACAATTCTAAATATTATGACCGAGGCACTTAATGATAAATATTTGGGATTACCTGCCAATGTGGGCATGGATAAAAGCGATTGTTTTCAGTTCTTGATTGATCGTATTATTATGAAGATTAGTGGTTGGAAAGAAAAGTTGTTATCGGCGCTTGGGAAGGAAATCTTGCTTAAGTCTGTTGTTCAAGCTATCCCAACATATGCAATGTCCGTATTTCAAATTCCTAAAAAGATTTGCAAAGGAATCATAGACGCGATGGCGCAATTTTGATGGGGTGACGAGGACAATCAGAAAAGGATGCACTGGATGGCATGGTGGAAGTTGTGTGTTCCAAAAGACCAAGGAGGAATGGGTTTCCGTGATATACACTGTTTTAACTTAGCTTTATTAGCGAAGCAAGTGTGGCGTCTCGTGGATAATCCTGAATCGTTATGTGCGACAATCCTAAGAGCCAAGTATTTCCCCGAAGGTGATTTGATGAGCGTGGTATTAAAAAAGGGCGCCTCCTTTACTTGGCAAAGCATTATGGCGGGAGTGGACTCTCTCAAGAACGGCTATACATGGAGAGTAGGAACGGGAGAAAATATTGACATATGGAGAGATGCATGGATCCCAAATTGTGCAGACAGGAAAATTATTACACCTAGAAGGGGGAATCTACTGACGAAAGTTTATGATCTTATTAACCCAGTCACAAATGGTTGGGATGAAGAGTTGGTGAGACAAACTTTGTGGCCAATTGATGCCCGTAGAGTACTAGCGATCCCGATATCTATGCATAATATGTCGGACTTTATTGTGTGGAGCTATACAAAAAACGGTTTATTCACTGTACAATCATCTTATTTGAAGGAATGGAATAAGCAACATGGGAGGAAGTTGGAATACTCAAATGGCATGGGCAGAAGTAACGTCAATCCTATTTGGGGTAAGATTTGGAAATTAGCTTGTCCGGCAAAGGTTAAATTTTTTATTTGGCGGACGCTCCACGGGACCCTACCGTGTCACGTTACATTGGCCAACAGACATATAAAAACTCAGCCAATATGCCCAGCATGTTTGGATGGTCCAGAAGACACGAAACATATATTATTTCTATGCCAGAAGGCAAAGGAAGTGTGGGAATATTTGGGGTTGTATGAAGTGGTGAAAAAAGCTTGCGTCATTGATCGTGCAGGAGAGGCAGTCCTTGAATTCTTACTCCCTATGCCTGATCATGACTACACATCTTGGGCTCCCGGAATGCAGGGGAACTAATCGCTATAGCTGCTTGGTATTTATGGTGAAATAGACGGAAACTAGTCCATGAGGGTAAGTCTCAAGAGGCGTCCCAGACCTCGATGGGGATTAGGACTATAACAGCGAACTATGTAAATGCCCACTCTCCTAAAGCAAAGAGAAAGAATGAAGGATGGTGCAGACCTCCTAGGGGGTTTGTTAAATTGAATGTGGATGCTTCTTTTGATCATGATCAGCTAAGAGGCACAGCGGGTGCTGTTATGAGAGATGACAAAGGAAACTTCATAGTAGGTGGTAACTGGAGGATTCAATACTGTGCGGATGCTCTGACAGCGGAGGCGGTAGCACTCAGATTTGGCTTACAGTTGGCACAAAAGACGGGATGCAATCGTCTAATTATCAATTCTGATAATATGAAGGTCATTGACACAATGAATAATGGAGGACAGTCTGCGGGAGCGGCTGCTGCAATTTTTGAGGATTGTTTTTTTATGGCCTGTGATTTTCCTCAAACCAATTTTAAACATTGTAACAGGGAAGCCAATAAAATAGCTTATGAGCTTGTTAGATTAGCAAAATGTTCCATGACTAGCGATTGGATAGAGGAGCCCATCAAAAATCTTGTAACTCTCTTGATAGACGATGTAATCATTATTACTAATTAATAAAGTTCAAGTTGTTTTTCAAAAAAAGAAGTCCTCGGATGATACGCCCAGATACACCATGACATAGTCCTTCGAATGACACCAAGAATCCACACCTCCACGTAACGTGCACACGCAGGACGACGGCATGAATCAGTAGTGTAGCAAATCAGCCATCGGGAGGGATTGCTTCGGTAGTCACCATATATATACAAAATAGTCTGAACGGAACCACAATCTTCCATGAGTGAGATGTGGCATCAGTCCATTAATTCAAATGGTTGCATGCTTTAGACCAAGAACTCGGGATGAGTTTGGCACGCAGCCGTGCATGTACGTTGGTGTGTGATAGAGAGACGAGATGGCAGGAAACGTGTGTTGGTACGTCTGCAAGGATGGGTGACACTGACAGCTACTCCCTCCGTTCGGATTTACTCGTCGTGGTTTTAGTTCAAATTTGAACTAAAACCACGACAAGTAAATCGGAACGGAGGGAGTAATAGTTAAGCAGCACACATGGGTGTACCAAAGAGTTTTTTTTTGAAAACACCTGTAATTTTATTCATACTTATAATAATTACAGATACACTAATTTGGAACTAAGATCCAAGAACTCTGACTAAGAATTACCATGAAATCTCTTGGAAACGCCTTCTTCATAGTATCAATATTTGCTCAAAGAAATACTCCAAAGACTTCGGTAAAGAGGCTGTAATTGGACTGGAGCAACAATGTTGCCACTCTTTCATCGGCATGACCATTATCAATAATGGTTTTTGAAAGCACATTGAGTTGCCCATCCGAAAAGATGGAAAGCCTTGATCGATGAACGTACTTGGGCCGGGGATGATCCCCTAGAAGTGCGGGCCATCGGATCGCTATATCTTCACCATGGTATCAATTAAACCTGGGCAAACGTCGGGCCGGGCCTGGTTTCGGGCCGGGCTTATAAAAGCCCGACCTTCATTTCTCAAGCCCGAGCCCGGCCCGAAGCCCGAAATACTCCATATTTTCAAGCCCGAGCCCGGCCCGAAATCAAGGCCGAAGCCCGAAAGCCCGGCCCGAATGCTGTTTTTTAGTACGCGCACGTGCAAGCCCGGCCCGAAGCCCGAAAGCCCGGCCCGAAATACGGAAAAATTGAAGCCTGAGCCCGGCCCGAACTATCTTTCGAGCTGCAAAACAAAGCCCGAGCCCGGCCCGAATGTCAAGCCCGGCCCGGCCCGGCCCGGGTTTTTCGGGTCGGGTCGTCGGGCCGGGCTGCCCATGCCCGGGTTTAGTATCGATGAAAGATTTTAGCTCGACAAATAATCAAATCACACCAACATACACTCATCAAATCCAAATAATCGGATCACGAAGACAGAAAACTTTCTAATCTCATGACACCACCAAAAAAACGAGAGTGATTTTATTCTCATAAATGCGATGATCACTAGATGTTGACGAAGAACATAGAACTCTTAAATACACGAGGTCCCCCCACCTCTCAACGCCAAGATGGCAACCGGAGGCGAGGGGACGGCGGCTGCAATAGGAAACCCTCTCGAGTCGAGATAGGGAGAAAGCTGGCTAATTAAGGCCACCCAATTGATGGGGAGGGATTAAAAGGCTACGCATGGCCAAGCGGCTGTGCATCACCATCTCAAGCGTCTTTCCCATGGCGGCGAGCCTTTGGTCCCCTCGGATTGGTGCATTTGCAATGGCGGGAGCCAGGAATTAAAGATTAGAAGCCAAATGAGTAAATAAAAAAGATATAACGGGTGCCAAATTATAGAAATAGATGTGTTTTTTTCTAAAATCTAAGTGGTTAAGTGCAGAGAGACAAGCACATGTATGCACATCTATGGGAAGATGGGGGAGCCAAGCACATGTATGCATATTTGTGCTGTTTCATGGCGATTTCCTTCTACAACCCACCTTGGGTTCATGCCTTTCCGAGACAGTTTGATCGGTTTGCCCATTTCAAAAATGTGCTATTCTGCAATGTCTGAGGTCATGAACTCGCCAGCTTGCTCTGTTATTTCTCAAATTTTGCTCTGTTATCATGCGCATGTGAAACTATTTCATTGACGCGCAAAAATTGCACTCTTATTTCTCAAATTTTGACATTCTTCTCTCGAGGCAGAAGCATGGTAGCACAGTTGCGGTTGTTACTCTGATCAAAACAAGTGCTCCCGGTACAAGCCTACTCTGCTCAGAGATGTAATACAACTGTTATAGGCTTAATTTTGGGTGTTAACATCAGGGTGAGGAATGCGCTTCATGATTTATAACCAAAAAGAAACCAATTACTGGACCATTCATTTACCCTGCGCAGCTGAATCCGATGTATAGCCAAAAAAAAATTTGTACTGAGTAAGGTAGTTTCCTGTCCTGCCTGTGTAATTGTAAATTCAAAAGCGCCCCATTACACAACTTAACATTAACAGTTCACGTTCACCGCAGCTTCGCACAAAACTGGTTCTGATCTGAGACACTCAACACTGCTCGAAGTACAACACTGTTCTAATTCACAGCTCATGTCAGTTTCCATATTCGCCGCAAAATAACCAACATATGAATTCTACAGATTACCATCAGAAGATAAGAGGAAAAATTATCTAAAGTACACCATCAACACCGAGCATATTACTGAAGCCGCGCCTGGTGAATCACATTCGCGTCCTTTGCCTGCTACCCCTGTCCTCGTCTTCTTCCACCTGTTGCGGAAAGGTGAGAAACAAATTATACTCCAGCAGGAAATTGTGCTAGTTCAGACACAACCTACCGGACAATGAAATCGTTTCGAAAAGAAAACCTAATATTACACCTCAAAATGCATGCTCTTGGAAAAAAACTTCTCCCATGAAGAGATAATCAATAGAACTTTCGACAATGTAAATAAAGAGGAAAGCATAATACTGATTCCTTTATCTATGTTTATGTGTTGGGCAGCAAATAGTATGTGACAATGCAATAAGATGTGCTTGATTTTATCTATGTTTTTAGGCGACACGGTCGTGTATCATGGTATCAAGAATATTCATACTGAAACAATTAATTTACCTCTGTGATAACCTTCGTAGACTTCCGCCCAATCTTTGACCTTGAATCGGAGCCTGGTAGCTTGGGCTTCTTTGTTGCTGGCTCATCCAAATCATCATCTTCATCTCCATCATCTGCAATTATTTTATGTTTTTACAGAGGTTAGATTGGCAGTTGGCACTACTATACTGAGTAACCATTTTGTCCAAGAGTATATCTACATAGCAATCGTATTAAACAAATCGGTATGAATTTTCAAGGGCCATAATTCAGGAAAAGTAAAGCTTCTTCACATTATCCAATGAACACAGAAAAAGGAGAAGTATCTTCGCAAGTCAGAGCACTCTATAACATGCCCAATTAAAATCAGCAGGAACAAGGGAATGTTTACCATCTTCATCACCAAAACCTTCAAAATCTTCCATATCGTCCATGTCACCCATCTCGATATCATCGCCTTCAACATACTCTATCTCACCTTCCTGTATTGGCAAATAAATCCACAATATATAGGAAAGCTTGTGAGCAGTAAGAACATAACCAAGTTAGCTTAATTCTCATTCTCATAATCAGTACTGTGCTTACTTTTTCCTCTTCTATCTCAGTAGCCAACTCATCCTTTTCCATGTCAAGGATGGTATCAAACTGCTTGAAGGGGAAATTATATATTTCACCATAAACACCTTTCCTCAGACGTTCCTTTAGCTCACTTTCAATACTCTGACCAGTAGAAGAAAGATGTTAGAACATGGCAATGTATAATAGTAAATTGATAGAGATTATCAGAAAAAAAAATAACCTTATCTAGTTGAGCAGCCTTTTCAGCTTTCTCCAATCTTCGGAGATCACGCTGAGTTTTCTTCCTGGGAACTGTCATTATCTTCTCTCTAAAGAGCAAAAGAATATGTTTAGCAACTTTTTCTGTGTCAAAAATTAACAGTAAAAGTATGGAAATCAACAAGATGAATCACCATGTGACCGTTTTTGCAAAAAAAAGAAAAGGAATCAGCATGTAACTGAACCTGGTTACATGTTAATGGCACAAATGTATACCATCAAGTCAAGTCATCATTAGTCAATTTCTTTGTTTTTCTGTACTGCCACAAACAGGTTTGTGATTGACATAATATCGTTATTAATATTTTGAATGTAGAAAACAACCAATTTGAAGACGTTTGGGCTTTAGTCTTACTAAGCTATGCAGGCCAAAGCACCTGATTGATGGAAGGAAGAAGCTGGAGAGGGGAAAGCATGGAGTGGAGGTGGTCCTGTACTGCTGTACCAGTGAGACTGATGAGCAGTGCTGGCAAGGCTGGTTGCTGACTAGAGGGACGTTGATAGCTGCTGCGGTGGTGGAGTGGGAGTAGGGGAAAGACAGGCAAAGGAGCAGGACGCCGCCCTTCGACAAAACAACAGTGGAGCAGAAGGATGAAGAGCGAGAGGATGAATCTGCTGGAGGAAAAGGTACGAGTGTGATGGAGGGGGTGGGGTCAACTGCCATGAGGGGAGACTTGCCAGCATATATGGTCGATGCCTAGTACCTTCCATACAAAAATCAAGCAATCTGATGGCAGAGCAGAACACATAGCCAAATATGACATCAAGACCTCAGAAACTGGAACTGTCGAATGTTATAAGCTGCAAGGCGAACAGTGAGCTGGTCCTGCTCCCTACACAGGCCAGGCCTTTCTCTTTCTTTTCTGTCCTCTTAGTGCATGTTCTGACTTTGTAGGTCACCATTATTCGCAATTAAGGCCGTCACATCTACCAGGCCCAAAAGCTTGCTCTCCCAAGTATGTAGAAGACGGACATTTTAGAGTTGGCTACACAAGGTTTGGGGCCAAAGGATTTGACAAGATAAGGTTGGATTACAACAGATTCACATAATGAAACACTGAAGTGATGTGCTGGTGCAGGCATCACCAGAGCTAGAAAGGGTGTCTGCTAACTGAGGTTAAACCGACAAACAAACTTACATTAACTCGCAGCTGACGTTTGCCAAAGTGAGCCACACAAAATAATACACAGGGTAAACCTTAACAAAGAGGATCTACCAGTAAGTTTGTGGGCTCAACATGTAGCAACTTTAGCATAACTAATAAGCCTTGTCACATGATCATTGCTAATGATCCTAATTTATGTCCTCTGTGAGGATCTCAAAAGTTTTTCTTTTGTAGATTCTATCTCCTCTTTAACGATCTCGAACGTATTTTCTTTTTTACATTCTACCATTTTGGGAAACCACATAAGAAAAGCAAACAGAACAGTGCCACCCAGATAAAATTGCACATGAATCAATATATCCACATTTACTACTATCAAGTCAACCCAGAATTCAGGAGCACATAACTGTCACGAACTTTATGTTGTGTGTGTGCGTAAAAACACCATAAGTGCTTACCTCACTTTAAGTTGGAGTCTCCTCATTCTTATCCGATACTGAGTCATTTTTGTCAGACGCTGTTTGATCTTGTGCACAAGTAGCTTGGGCCAAAATTCCTACATAGTGAAATAAAAGGGGTGTCATAAGGCTAACTAGACTCGTGTTCAGATGGAATGACAAAGCACAGCAGGAAGAAATGCATACAAGATGCTTGTTGATGATTTCCATTGCCTTCTCATAGTTCCTGGGTAGTTTGACTCTCTCCCATAATTTTTTTGGCAGATGAGCCCTTTCAGCAGTTTTCATGTATAAGTAGAATACACCTGCATGAGCGATCAAAGTTAAAAAGAAGAACAACAGCATCACCAAGAGTTTCCGATGATAAGCATAGCTCCCTACGAAGAAGAACCAAGAGCACAACGACTAAAGCATGCAGGCCACGATATCTATAGCAGCGGCAAGCTGAAGCATCCAGCAGTTAAAAGTGACTCTAGCCTCTGCAGAGCACAATGACTACTGCTTGTAAAACAGCAATGTTTTGACATCACACAGGTGATGACGCATGGAAGGGATAGCTGCTTCAATCATCATGTTTCTGACTAAACCACTGTTCTAATTAAAACTATTTTTGCAGTATTCATTCATATAGCACATGATTCGGTCTTACAGCCTATTCCATCAGTTAAGTGACTCGCCGAACACTTGATTGTCCCCCTGACAGGACATAACTGAATTTGCCATGTCAACGTTCACAACAAAGGCAATGCAAAGAGCCCTTGCTGGAAAATCAATTGCGGTGAAAAGGGAAAGATGGAACATACTGACTGACCAAGTACTTACTATCTATTGTGACTGAACTCTCACTGGGGCCAACTCAATCAGGCAAAATCGGCGGTTAATTAGAAGGAGAGGAGAGGGGAAGAGAAATACACATACCGTCGTGGTCCCGGATGGTGGCGTAGCGGCTGTTGGCGAGCGGGCAGGAGCTCCGGTTGCATATGCCGGTGGCGTTGTAGGGGTTCCGGCAGAATATCCCCGTCTCGATCCTGAGAAAGACAAAGGCGGAAACTTTTTCATCAGTCCCGGGGGAGAGCGCGGGGAAGAGGGGCGGAGGGCGTCGCCGCCCGCGGCGGGCGGGGTGGGCGCTCACTTGGCCATGAAGCTGCAGTGGTTGTGGCGGATGCAGTGCCATATCACGTCGTCGCTCATCTTGTCCCCGCCGGCAGGGTGGGGAAGCCAACCAAGAACGGCGGCGGCGAGTCGACGGCGCGGTCGGGGAGGCCGGCGGAGCGGAGGGAGCGACGCGGCGGGGTGCGGATGGGAGGGGAGGTGGGGTGGTGGAGGCGGAGTG